GCTCGTCTTTCAAAGCTTTATTCATAGTTCAGAAAATATTATCAACCATCAGACGAAAACTTCCTCCAAAGCCAGACTCTCATGCTCCCAGTCGGCAAAGAGAATAATTTAAATTTAGCAGTCCATAGCTGCATAGCAGCCAATCACCTACGCCGCCAAATGCATCATTTAGTTCTTTGTAGCAACCCTATGCACAACAAGAATGATATTTTAAGAGCAGGTACTTCTCATGCGCTATCTGACTTAATACAAACCTAACCTGAGGGTGGAAGCTCAGGCTGTATACGACAATAAATTTACCATACGGATATAACATCTGAATCTACAGAACCTTCAGTGTGAGAGCTCTCCATAATCCTTCCTCAATTTCTCGCCAAGAACAATGGGCAATGAATTACTTCTGCTAAAGAAACAACGTAAACTGGATGACAAATTACCTTACGCTTTCAGACATGGTCCCTTTAGGTAGTAGTTGCGTCACTGCTGTCGCAGTGCATTAACTTTCAATTTCAGTCACACTCCCGGAAATACAACATGAATGGTATGAACATCATTTTAGATCGAACCCTCTACCATATACATAGGACGTAGTTGAAATCGAAAAGAGAATAGCCAAACTGATGCTGGTCACAGAGAAGTACCAAACAATCAGTAATTCCAACATTCTACTGGTTCATCGAAAGCAGCTCATCACCGTCTCGTTCGTGCAGTCAACACAAGCTACAGGAGAGAGATTGCGATCCTCGGCATCAGCGGAAATTAGGAAGTTCGATAAGAGAATCAGAAAGGAGGAGTAACGAACAGTGCTTAAATGGGTGCGACAAACGTCCAGTCAGCAGGGGACTCGATTTTTCCATATCCAAGACGCTAAGGATATCCTTAGCTTTGCAGGTAAGAAAGAATGCCTAGAAAGATGACCTAAGCTGCTCAACGGCTGCTGTTCAAATTCGTCATTTTTGACCGTTAACACTTTGCCAACGTTAGAGGTGAAGAAAGCCTGCTGGATGGATATAATTCGTCCGGAGTTAAGGATGAAGTTAAGTATTGAGGAACGGGAATGGTAAAACGTCCATGCGATATTTCATCAAATGTGAAATGTGAATGTGAATCAAATGTGAATCAAATCAAATATGAACTTACAAACATTTACGCGGAGAATGGAACTGTGAAGTAACTGTCACTATAATTAATGATCGTGTAACCGAATGTGTCATTTATCGTGATATCACAGTAATTGTCAACTCCTAGGAAACGTTCCACCTCGATTGTCCCGGAAAGGCTAAGGAGGGTAAGTGATGGGAGACTCGGCCCAAATCAAGCAGGTTTCGGGATGGGGCACTCCTACCTCGACCAAATTTTCACGCTGTATTAGGATCACTGAGCAATGCCGACGACTCTAGTTGCCTTTAAAACTGCATTTAATTCAGTAATCGTCTGACGATGTGGAAAAGGCTTCCTTGAAATGCTATGGGATACCTGAACACACTGTTTCTGTTTTTGAAGAGATGTATGCAGGGACCATGTTTGCTGCCAAGAATGAAAAAAAAGTTATCTGAGAGGTTCTATACTAACTTTAGAGATCGCTAGGAAGATACGCTTTAACCACTGCTATTAAACACTGCTCTAGACTTTCTTCTACATAATAGTGCCGGCCATGGCAAAGACGAAAGTTCTACTATAGAGGGAAATCCCAGTTCAAGATATCCGGCAAGATATCTTGCTGATCTGAAGTACGCAGATGTGATATTTTCGTTGTGAGTAACATCGAGGGGGTAGCTTATTATTTGACGGCTTCCATATATGAAAAAGCCACGGCGCCGCCCTGGTCCTTAATGTCTGGAAGTCAAAAGTTATGACGAACCCACCCATCTGACACAGTTGATCTACAAGTTAAACAAAGAAGTGAAGTTCCTCAGGATGCTGAGGAGTTTAAGAATCTCGGTTCCATCATCTCCAGCGATGGCACTTTAGAGCCAGATCAAAATAGGAGGATCGCCTTGGCAGTGAATACATTTGGAAACCTGCTCAGTATTTGGGTTTAGAAAAGAAGTGAGGCTTTCAACGAAAACCGCCAGAATCTTGTACCTATGAGATCTTGTCATTCTACGGCATGAGACAGGTGTTCTAACAAAAGAGGAAGAAAGACAGTTGAACTGCATGCAGCAACATTAGCTACGACACATAATGAGAGTTAAATGGCTGAGCCACGTAAGAAAATTTTATGTATTCACAGGTGACCTCGATAGATGTGGATATTAAGAAAAGGAGCTTGGCCCTATTAGACAAAATCGTTAAACGTACACCACTTAATTCAGTCAGCGAGCTCCTCGTGTAGGAGGAGAAACACGGCAAACATCAAACAGGAGGCCAACATGCAATATGGAGGAACAAAGTGGAGACAGATCAGCTTTCGGACAGGAATATTCCCGTTAACGAAGTAATAATCGGTGCCTCATACAAAAGTGTTGAACAACTGCGCAAAGACATTTTGCTTTTGTAAACGACTCAAGGTAATTATATCAAAAAATAAACAACAACATAACTCCATCAAGGGTGAGGGAACTGTAATTTTCTTCTATAAATCCTAGGTGTTCTAGTGGCGTCGCGTTCTGCGGTTCATCGCCTTGATGGCTTCAAGTGACTTTAGCAAGCGCTCACGGTCTTTTCCCACTTATAAAAAGAAATCGATCGCCACACGAATGACTTCAGCCTTTACTTTCCAGATCTTATGCATTTCCATGTTCAATTCTCGAAAATTCTGTACCTTTTCTTTCCCTTTATCGAAAAATTTTCAGTCAGAAGGGCGTGATATATCAGTGATTTGTGATCACCATTTCACTCTGTCTATTAGAGCGATATCTTGATGAAAAGTCCATATTTCTGTCTGAGTTCCTATTGGGAAGTCTCAGAGTATTTCACTTAATAACTCACTCGAACCGCTTCGACCATTACCTTCATGCTCGCTCGCTCTAATGCAAATGAACTATCCTTGCAAAGTTGTTCGGTCGTTATTTGCATTTTCGGTTGGTGAAAGTTTCGCAGGAGGAACCTATGTGAGTCACGGTCTCATCCTCCACCGGACACATTCTGCACTTTGCTTCTAGCAGCATATGGAAGACATTGGCTTTGTACGAGTTCGGTACTTTGTCTTGGACGGCTATCAGAAAGGCTTCAGATTCGTAATGAAATTCGCTTCTTGATAACTACTTGAAATTCCGGTGGACGTTTACGTCTTCACTGAATCACACTGTTCATCAAGCTGTTTATTCTTCCAAACACTGAATCAGATATAATCTACACATTACAGGCTGTCTTAATCATTTCCTTATGTTTACTGTTCTGGTTTGCACAGACCGTTAAGTTTCACGGCCATCAGCACCCTGCCGTTCACTGCCATAGCCACATATTGCCTTAAAGATGGCTCTCTAATTCCAGCAGATAATCATAATTAATACTACGAAGCCACCTTCCTTCTTCTTTGCGCGATAGTCTGTCCGTACCTACCTTCGCATGTACCATTCAGTACGTTCAAGATCTTTCTTGTCCTTTTCTGGTGCTATTGAGCAAGTAACTTAGCGGAATCAATGCCAGACAAAACAGAAGCGGAAATTGAATCTCGCTAGAAGACTGTTCGCTTGATCTTCACTGATCCACAAGAGACTTTGTTGCATCACAATGTTGTTCGTCACTGCTTTATCGCTGTTTGGAAGAATGCCATTGGGCAGTCATTGAGGTGGTAAGGTTTCACGCATTCTGCAATCCAACTATGTGGTCGTAGAACAAGTACCTTCTAAAATCGATTCAAGCCATGGCCCGTGCTGGTCTTTCTCATTCTGTACTCCTCATGTGGCGCCTTCCTCAAGAGTAATTGGTTCTTAGGTCCGTTTGACTTCGTCCAGTAGCTCTTTCGTTCAGGAAATATGATAATGTTCACCTCGAGATGCTTGCAAACTGCATTGACTAGGAGAGACGTCAAGAGTTACCAGGTCGTCGAAAGGCACGTGATCGGCATGCAGTTAGTCACATAGCCATTGTCGCTGCTGTCATCCTTAATGATCACGTGAGTCACTCGATAAATCAATCATGAAGATGGTGCATGTTGAAGCACTTCTTGCAAGAATACTGCCATTCTTGAGCGCAAAAAACGTTTGCTGTAAGTCAGAATTCATACACTTCATTCGAACTTGGCCCTGCCCAGTTTTCATCTGTCCAAGCGTCTTGCGCATATTTTTCTTCCGTTGGGACCTTTGCATTGTTTGTATTTCTCTTACCAAATTAGATTCTTCGTCATTATCCTAAATTCGAGGCTCCAGAACTGACGCGATAGCACCAACGGTTTCACAATCATCCGCATCTGTTTTTTGCCTCCAGTTTTCCATACAAAGCATCACGTTTTGAACAAAAGTCCTGATCTGTTTGTATCCCTCGAACTTTATCTGTAGGAAGCATGTAGCTGTGATGACTGTTATGTCTGCTCCAATCCTATGCTTTTTCATTAAATTCGTATAATGATGATATCTTTATGTTGCTCCGTTGTAGTTGCTTAGTCTGTTTACTTCTTAGTGCAGTTCCTCGTTTGTTTTCTTGATTCTTTTTAACGACGATGGCTCTTACCCTTCTTCTCAGATTTGTTTCCAGCTTAACGCAAAGATTCTTCGCTATCACACGACCGTTGAGTAAATCATACTGCTGATAGACCTCAAGTTATTAGTTAGCATCATCGTCAGGACACTGCTAGCTTGAATGATATGTTCATGTAGCTCTTTCTTACTTCGAATTGGAGGGATTCGTTGGGTAATTTTTAGAATCCCTTCATACTCCTGAAGGATCGCCTGCTGAAGTGATGGTTTTCTTTCATTAAGCTGGATATCTTCGTTTGCATCAGTCCATAATTTCGTTCGGGTTGACTTCGCTAATATGTTTGGCTGCCTGACCTTCTTATATAAAGGTATCAGCATCAAACGCTTTTCTGATTCTAATTGCATTTTATGGCAATTGTGTTAGCAGCAAGTCCTTTCAGTAAGCAGCTTGTAATTCGCTAGACGTTGCTTAATTGCATCACCGTGGGGAGGGGAAATCGTTACCATTTTTCCATCGTTCTTTTCCGAAAAACACTGTCCTACCTCGCCGCCAGGTAACAGCGCCTCATTACAACCTTGTTCACTTTCCTTCTATCAATGTTTACGCTTATGCACCCGTCGCAATTCTGCCATGTCTGCAGGTACAGGAGGTGAAACAGATTCTGTTCGCCGATCATCGCACGTAGCATTCGTTCCTTAACGATCTACGTGGTCTTTGATAAAATGGGCATTGACCAGTCCGGCATAGGAACATTTTCATTGTAACTCACCATAATGGGTAGATGGTTCACCTCATTCTTCAAACTTGCAAAACATGGATGCGCCTATTTATAATCATTTAGTATTAAGCGTACGTTATCGCTTCTATACAGAAGCTGTCTGGCAACCGGGTTGATCGTCCGCGTTGTGAAATCAAGCAACAGCTGTTCGCACTCCCCTTTGGTCTTCATCAGCTGTTCGACTTCCTTATTGCACATACTGTCGCCGCCAAAAGTTTGTCCGCGGAGGTCGATGAAGAAAGTCGGTCTCTCAGGCTTCAAGCATACGGTTTCGAGCGAAGACTCGTCTTCCATGTGATTCGTGTCGGTGGCAAACAGGTCTAGAGATAGGAACTTCCTCAAAAAAAAACAAGGGTAAGACCTTAAATTTGCAAAACCACTACATCCAGTTCACGCACAAACAACGCAAGCGGCGACAGTCAGCTGGACTGAAAACTCGGCAATAATAGCTGATGAAGAAAACCGAACATTTTACAGCCATCGACAGATCGTCTGCCAATCATGACTTGTGGTGAATCGATCCGCAAGGCGTTATCGGCGACAACAGAGATGATCCACGTGCTTAACGACAGACTTCTTCCATAAAACCTAGTCCAAGTATGTCGAATCGCGCTGAAGCAACAGAACTTGGTCTGCAAGCACTTCTGAGTGCTACCCGTTGTTATCACCATCATCTGGGGCATCCGGATTAAGGATCGAGCACATAGGTTAACGATACGATGATTTGGCTTCTCCGAATGATTTAGGCGATGTCCTTTGCTGCGGCAAAAGTCATGATCATCGTTGCAAGCAAGTCTGCCTCTAGCAGCTGCTTTCTGGTGCGATGTTGGCCTTTTTTACATGCACTGCATTTTGGCGAAGAGATGCATCACACAATGCACAAAAACAAACACAAACACTTACAAGCAAACAAGCCAGAGAGAAACACAAGACATTAAAGTAGGCACTGGACGATGAACTGCAGTCTTATAGTGAAGAATAATAAGTTCCAGTCTGCGGCTTTGAATTTCTGGCTACTACAGACCATTTCTGAACACCAAGAGTCAGTATCGCAGTACCTCATCGCATCCCATTTAATCTGCGATGCGCAGAACTAGCAGAAGGCTGGTTCTCGGTACCGGAAATTCATAATGGCGTCCAAAAGGCAAATTAAAAAATAAACGGACGAGACAACTTTCTCAAACAGACTTAGTGATTTTGCATATTTAGGACAAGTTCAACGCCGTCAACGTCCTAGAGGGCACAGCTAATTGGCCCAACGGTCCTTTGCAATGCTGACAAAGCATGACTACTAATGATTATAGTTCGTCAGCAATGAGTGGACAAAGGCTCCGCTCCTTGTTCATCCTCCTCTGAGGTTCGACACATGAATATAAGATAACTTTCCCGCCATGCCCATAAGACGCGCGTAACGGTTCCACGAAACTCCAGCACATACACTGTCAGACATAAGAAAGGCACGCATTCGGTTGATGCGCGGTCTTGTGTCGACCACCACTGTACACTGAC